AAACTACATCGATCCTATGAATCACAATCAAAATTCAAGCCTATGAACTATAAACTTCCAATTGACTTCAAATTTTGCACGCAAGTCATAAATGACATTATTGACCTATTCCAACTTTCGGAATCAAATTCTGACCCCGATATCGATAAAGTCAACTTTCGGTCAAACTTTCAAATTTTATTTTTCAACTTTCGCTAATTTACGTCGAAACGACCTATGGACTGCCAAATCAACATCCGGTTACGCTGCTATGTCTAAAATCATCATACGAAACTATTGGAATCATCGAAATTCCATTCCAAAGTTATTTTCTCAAAAGTCAAACTCTGGTCAACTCTTTTTGTTTAAGCTTCAAAAATAAAGATTGTTCTTTCAATTTAATCTCGAATTGTTCTTTTATTCGAAAACCAAATTCGACCATACACGCAAATCATAATACACATCACAAAGCTGCTCGGGACCTTAAGTCGCTGAACGAGATGCTAATTCACAAAATGACTAGTCGGGTTGTTACACTTATAAACACTTTGGGTGTTTACCAAATACGTAGATAAGCCAAACGATACTTATAAGCCGGTTTGACCAACTTATAAGCTTAGCCAAACACCCTCAATGTACATTTGTTTTCACAATTTTCTCTCCTTCCCTGCTTCTTTTTATTTAGAAAAAGAATTAAAGAAGGTCGGTTATTTCAAGGATGATGCACTTTGACTCGTAATTCTTATTTAACTATATTATAATTATTTTTATAATAAAAAACCAGTTAATTCCATTTAAGTATTTCAAATACCATTAATCTATTTTTTTTCTAAAAAGCATTCAACTTTGATTGAATATTATCGAAAATGTCTCATTTGTTTCCTCATAGTGACTTTTAATGATATTTCGGTAAAATCAAATAATTTTTTCCGTCAAAAAGAAATTTGAGTAATAATTTTATTACAAAAAATAGTACTATGCGACATAAATATAATAAAGTGAAAGTTGAATGACCATCTATAATATTTGCTCTTAAAAAAATAGTGCAAGGTTTTCTTTTCCAATTAGAGAGTTAAAAGTTTAGGATAATTAATCAATCAATAAAGTTACAGGACGTATACTACAAAAAGAAAAGTCGGAATTAGCTATGAACTTCGTCGTTGATCTATTGCTAAAATTGCTCATAGCTAACAAACCTTTTTGATAATCTGTCGCTAATTTGTAGCTAAATAGGGTTAGCGACGATTTTTTTATTTAGCTATAAAATTTATCCGTCGCTAATTCTTATTTTTTAAATTAAATTCATGTTAACAACACTCTAATTAGCTTAAAATATAGACCTAGTTAATAAGAATTTGTCTGTATAGCTATGTGCCACTGCGAATTTTCATTTTGTTTTTATTATATAGTAATATGCACTTATATAAACTAGACTAACTCAAGGGATGTTAATGGTTAGTGATTGCATGGCTTATGAAAAAGTGATATTCTTGATTTCCTACCAATTAACAAGTCCTCTACTGTCTACTCTACTTTACAAATTACAACTTATAAATACTGCTTACTTGATTAATCGATCATTATTAGGTTTAATAACACTGCAATCAAGGGTGAAGCTACAATATACATTACGTTAACATTGCAACCAAGGGTGAAGCTACAATATATATTACATAATGGTTTAGATGAATTCAGTAGCCTTTTGTAACAATCCAATCGATCATTTTGAGCATTTGCATTTCGTTCAGTTATTTGAAGTCTTGAGTAACTTCACATGATGTATTATGACGTGTGTTAATCATCAGTTTTAATTTTCAGGTGTTGCGAGATTAGTTTGGAAAGATCAATTTTATGTTTGAAGTTTTAAATTGGAAGAGTTGACCAAGTTTGACTTTTTAGTATTCGACCTCGGATCAGAGTTTTGATAATTCTGTTAGGTACGAATGGTGATCTTGGACTTGGACGTATGCCCAGAATTTCATTTGGATATTTCTAAAAGGTTTCGGCACTAATTGACAAAAATTAGAATTTTGAAGGTTTGGAATATTCATAAGTTTGATCGGAAGTTGACTTTGATGATATCGAGTTCGAATTGTGGTTTAGGAAATTGGAATAGCTCTGTTATTTCATTTATGACTTGTACACAAAATTTGAGTTCATTCCGAGTTTATTTGATATGGTTCGGCACGAGTTTTGGAAACTGAAGGATTGAAAAAAATATTAAGTTTGAATAGTGGTACGATTCGTCTCGATGTTATTATGTGTGATTTAAGGCCTCAAGTAAGTCTGTATTTTATTATGGGACTTGTTGGTATATTCAGACGAGGTTTCCGAGTGGCTCGGGTAAGTTTCGGACGAGGTTCAGATAATTTTTGGACTAAGTTGAATTTTCAGGGGCTGCTGGTTTTGGTGTTCCGCACCTACGGCTGGTATTGTGCAGGTGCAATGGTCATAGAAACGAGCCCATGAGCGCAGAAGCGAAGAGCACAATTGGACAGGATTTTGCAAATGCGAAGTTTTCGTCACATCAGCGAAGACACAGATGCAAGCACTTAATCGCAGGAGCGGAAATGTGTTGTTGGCTAGGGATCACAAATGCAGAGATTTTGCGTAGAAGCGCAACTGCATAAGCGGGAAAACGATCGCAGGTGTGATAGCAGCTGAGTTTGGGCCTGTTCAAAGAAGCGAAGGCTAGGCCGCACGTGCGATTCCGCAGAAGTGGAAACTGGTTCGCAAATGAGAACAAACGCTGGGCAGAACCTATAATTTCGAAGCCTTGGTTCTTTTTCTTATTTCACCACATGACTTGGGGTAAGCATTCTTGACTTGATTGTGAATATATTTCATGAATTAATCTTTTTTTTGGCATATGATTATTGATTTTTCAAGAGTAATCGGAGAAATTTTCTACAATTTCTGTGATGACCCAAAATGTCATCTTTAAATTTATTAAGTAATTTTTTATTCTAGGACCTCGAAAAGTACCATGTATTATTTCTCGACTTGCGTGCGCAGTCCGTACAATATTTCGAAAAGTTTTATGTGAAAAATGGATTAAAATGTGAAATAGAGCTTTAAAACTCAACTGAGTTAACTTTGGTCAATATTTTGAGCAAACAGACCCGGATCAGTATTTTGACAATTCCGGTAGGTCTGTATCGTGATTTGGGACTTGGGCGTATGCCCGAAATCGAATTCCGAGGTCCCTAACCTGAGATATGAAATTTTGATTAAAAAAATTAAAAGCTTGAAAGTTTAATGATTTCTAAGAAATTATTGATGTTGGATTTATTGACCCCGGGTCACTATTTTAGTTTTGGAGCCCAGTATAGGTCCACTATAATATTTATGACTTGTCTGCCGAATTTGGTGAGAATCAGAGTTGATTTGACGTGATTCAGACGTTCGATTGTAAAAATATAAATTTTAAAGTTTTCTTGAAAATTTCCTTTGATTTTCATGCTTCTCAACGTGGATAATGCACTCCCGGAATTTGTATGTCCTTTTACTCAGCTCTTGTCAATGCAGATAAACCAAACCGAACGGATTCTCTAAGTTGACCGCATCTGAAGCCGAAAAGTCCATAGCAGGGAACCTTTGTCGTTGTACTGGATACCGGCCCATTGCTGATGCTTGCAAGACTTTTGCAACGGATGTTGCTATAGAGGATTTGGGGCTCAATTCGTTTTGAAAAAAAAAAAGATTTTAGGGATATAAAAGTGAGTAACCTACCTCCCTATGACCCAAGTGATGTCTTGAGATAATTCTATATATTTTGACATTATTTATCCGATTTGGTTGTTGTTTGAATGCTAATTTGTGCGATAATTTGCGCTTAATATAGCTTCTTTCACATATAGGAATGCTTGGATATGAATTCGAGAAAAGTTGCACGGAATAATACCTCCGAGCTACAAAATGGAGCAATAAAAAAAGAAGTGCAAGGCAACGAAACAACAATGCCATAGATAGTGTAAGACATTTTCCGGGGCATTGTCATTGGCGCCCCAGACAGTGCCTTGCGCCAAAACAATGGCGTCATAGATAGTGCCTCGTGCCGACGATGCCATCCGAGCAAATTTTAATTCGTCATTATGTTTGGACATGCAGAATTCGGCCCCTACCCTATAAATACCCCTTAGAGTTAGTTTTTGAAGGGTAGACACTATTAGAGAGGACGCTTTTAGAGAGGGGATTCGACTCAAGGAGGCAAGAACACGCTAGGAACAAGGAGGAGAATTCTTCTACGAGTTTTTACTTTCTTCTTCCTTTGGATGAGGTAGCAAATAAGGTGATAAAATTCAAAAAATAATATATGCAATATTCTAAAAATTTAAGCAAAAATGGATATTTTTCAATGGGTATGGTTAAATTTCATTAAAAGCATATAGATGAGTCAAAATACAAATATTTGAGGAAGATTGGAGGTGATTTAGACTGATTTGGTATCAAAATTCGTAGTTAAAATCGAGTTCAAAAAATTCTTCTGCGACACATGTATCACACACACAGGTATAAATGGATATACATATAATACACAATTGATACAAATATGATACAATATATGTGATACACAAATGATACACATCATTTCTTTTCATGTTCATCTTCTATTTCGAATTTTCAATTCATAACACCTCAAAACTCCATCAAATCATGCCAAAACTGAGATTCAAGCTCTTTAAGATGTGCCCAATCTATTCTAATAACCCACACTCAAAAGAAAGCAAATAATTGACCTTTTTCGGCTACGAATATCTAATAGGCTAATATTAGTAATATTTAGTTAATATTAGTAATAATTTATAAATTGACCAATTTTTGTAATAAACTACTTATAAATGGACATAACTTGTAGTTTTTCTATTTTTAATCCAAAAATCATAGTTCATGGGTATTTTTGAACATTTTCCGTTCTCAAAATAAGAACAAAATAAGAGGTTTTTACTTTCCCTTTCAAGGCAAATGGACTTATTATCTTCTTGGGCTTCATTAAGGTAAATGGGCCCCCAAAATTCTGTCAACTTTATAATATCTTCCATTTTCTAAATCATAAAACCCTAGCACTCAGCAGCATCTGTGTGTTGTCGAAGCAGCCGTCATTTGATTTGAAGGTAAAAATCAAATTCCCATATTCACTCAGTAACCATTTTCATCAATTATTTTCTCCATTTCCTCAAAAAAAAAAAAATTGTTTGATAAACAGGAACAACGTTAATCAAATGTCGCTCGGAGAAGTCGCTTGTACTTACGCTTGTTTAATCCTCAACGATGAGGACATTCCCATCACCGTATGTTTCTCTTCCCGGTATTTAAATTTTTTTCATTTTTTTTTTACTGCTATTTTTAATGAGATTTAAGTTATATACACTTACAGTATAAAAATATTGCAATTTGACTTGTGATAGCACGCCAATTACCATTTTTGTATAATTAATGTACTGATTTGTGCTTTAATTTTTACTGTAATAGGCAGAAAAAATTGCTACTTTAGTAAAAGCAGCAAATGTAACAGTGGAGCCTTACTGGCCTTTGCTGTTTGCTAAACTTGCTGAGAAGAGAAACCTCGGAGATCTTATTATGAATGTTGGTGCTGGTGGCGGTGGCGCTGCTGTTGCCGTTGCTGCACCAGTTGGCGGAGCTGCTGCTGGTGCTGGTGCTGCTGCAGCCGCTCCAGCTGCTGAGGAAAAGAAGGTAAAAAAAGAAAGAAAGAAATGAGTATTAGTTATATTGATTGATCGAAAATTTGATTTTGAATAGATGGTGAGTTGGTGACAGTTTTTTTTTTGACTGTGAAATGTGCCTGAGCTAACGTTTATTTTTTTTATTTGGAATGTGAACAGGAAGAGCCTAAGGAAGAAAGTGATGACGATATGGGATTCAGTCTTTTCGATTAGGAGCGACTTTCAGTATGATTTTATAGGTTATATTTTTCCTGAGAAAATTTGGCATATGTTAGTGATAGAATTTTGCTCAGGACCACTCTTGATATGTTTGTTATAAATGTCATGTAATCTTGGTGTGTTATGAACATGTTCTGCTAGAGATTGTTCAGTAATTTGAGTGCATTTTTGTCTTTGTATCCCCAAATGCAAACTACTATCTTTAACTATTTTAACAATTGGCATCTTGGAAAACCATGGTTCATGAACTTGCATTGGATCGATCTATCATTTGACAATCATGTTGTCTAATGAAGCATTTTTAAAGGTATTTTGATTGGCTATAAAGTTGGCATAGTTTTGTTTTATTGAAATTTCTTCTTTTGTTCATATGCATATGCATCCTTCCTTATCTTTCCTTAGCCGAGGGTCTAGCGGAGACAGTCTCTCTTCCTTCTTAAAGGTAGGGGTAAGGTCTGTGTATACACTACTCTCCCCGGACCCCACTTGTGGGATTACATTGAATTTGTTGTTAATATGCATATGCATTTACTATTAGTATATTTTAGTCTCCGTTCACAGAGTATTAGTTGCGACTGGGGACTAGAATTTGGTTAAGGATGTGTTTACTGATGCTCAACAGAGGCGAGTCTGATTAGTTGGAGTTGATTATAATTGGTATAAGCACTTTGGAAAGACTGTCAACTTAAAAAGGTGTTCTGTTAAATACAGTATACAGAACATCTCTAGATTTTCTTTTTCACTCTGTAGTCTGTAGTGTCCCACTGCCTCTACTTAGCACTTGGCTACCTAGTGCATTCTAAGAGCATACTCATGATTCTACAATGGTCTTTATATTGGTATTTGGGGATTCAACTTGCAAGTGAGAATCATTTAGCATATAAGATTGTATTATTTATAACCCTTGCAATTTTGTTATTTCATCTATGCTTTGTGTGATCAAGCCAATCTTCTTCTGGTTGTATCTTTTGCTCTTCTATGCTTAGGGTCTTGTCCTTCTCTCCTTTTGTTCCATATATTCCTCACTTGAGCTTCAAAATGCTTCGTCTGTGCTCAAAACAAACAATATTGACCAGGTTGCTGTTGAATCAGACATATATTACATCACATAACACGTGTCAAAAGTCGCACAATCTTGTCGATGTACATCAGATGCAATCTCATTTGTTTCTTCTATGTTCACCACATCTCATATTGGATTCACTTCCTTAGCACTTGGATAAAAAAATGGAACTGCAAATACTTTGGTGGCATACAATTGATTTAGTAATACAACTTCAAAAGTTAAAGTTATTACATACCGAGTTACACGTTGAGTTCTTTACTATCAACAATGCAGGTACTTTTATTAGTGTTACCTTTTGACAATTTAACTAATATTTTGATTCATTTGAGACAACCATTTCTAATGTTGGGAATTTATTTTGAGGAGAAGCATATCAGAGGTTGAGAAAACCGATGAGCTGAAATATAAAAGGATGGAATAGCTCATTGCCAGATTATAAAAATTCTCGTACTATGTACCCAATCTAGTACATAAATCATATTTAATTTTTTTACTTCTACTTTTTCCTAGTTCTTGAATAAGATCATATGTGCATCCTTACATCAATTTCCTAATACATGAACAAAGAAAATTCACGTACCGTAGAAATCAAAAGGTCTTCTCACGGTAGACTTATAATGCCAAAGTTAGGTAGTAGTAAGAGCTATAAGCAATTACAATGGGTTGATTATGTGAAGATTTATTCACACATAGCTATCTTCAAATGTACTAAGGTCTTGTTTGGTATAACATAACATCATACTATAATTATAAAAATATGGCAGATCGTTATTAGGACAAGATTCCTGGACATATTAAGGAAGAAGCCTATGTTATCCAACATGAGGGTCTCGTCATTACTAATAGGACAAATCAAGTATGCAAGGCAAGTTTACAAATATATTGATTTATGGTTTGAATCAATCATCGAGTTGCTGAGATAGTCAAATCATATTTCGTTGATAAAAATCAGAATTACCACCAATAAGTTTAATAGCTGAGGCGTGCTATTATTTTTAAGAATATACGTGAATGATATTCTCTTGATAAGATGTGATATTTCAATGCTCAAATGTCAACACTGCTAATATTTATTTACAAGTGATTCAAAATTTAATTGTACATTTTGGGAAATGCTCCAAAAGTGTTTCAACTTCAATAGATTGTTGCACATGAAGAGGTTCTGTTGTGTTTTACTAACTTCGGCTGCGAAGATCAAGTTCTAAGCCAAGTCCAAACTTGTGGGCTTGCCTTTAAGTTGAACTTCTTGTTTCTTTCCGAGAATAAAACTTAGGGCTTTTAACACATTTGGCCGCTCGATCGGCCGAAAATAATTGCAACCAGTATACAAAAAATAAATACTTTTTATATATAAAACATATATATTATAAATTCATATACAAAAAATATACTTTCCGTTATTATTTTAAAAAGCGGCTATACGGTGTAAATTTCCCATAAAACTTCTCATTTTTTGTTTCCTTTTCATACTAAGTTTTTAGTTTCCATTGCAATGATTTACTGTTTCCTTCTAATCTCAATCTATTGCTTTGCAAGGAGGAGTTGCAATATGGGTGTCAAATAAGCTAGTGGGAGTAAGTTCAGAGAAGTTAAAACGAGTTGAACTAATTAGCGGGTTGGGACATAATTTACCCAAAATTTGTTTGGGTAAAATATAAGCATGTCAGTTTGGGCTAAACAATGGATCAATACCAGACTTGCCCAACACATAATTATTTTTTATTTTTTTTGTTCTTTTATAATTTGCTTAATTATCAAATTAAAATAAAAGAGCTGTTTCTTTTAATTTTTATGACTATATCTAGGGGTGTACAAAACCGAACTGAAAAATCGCACTAAACCGAAAAGTCAAACCAAACTGATTAAAAAATCCGACTAGCTTTGGTTTGATTTGGTATTGAGTAAAAAATCCAGAACCAAACGAACATATAAATATATAATTTTTATATATACTTTTACGATTTTATATAGAATTTTCTTTAAAACAATATTTAAAAATATTTGGGATTCTCTTATGGGATATAATATTTAATAGAATATGAAGTGCTCCATATTTATTAACCTTAAATAATGGGTTTTATGATCACTTTCTTATTAAGTGTTACAGAAATGCATTAATCTCTTTGTTCTTCCATATTCATATGTCAAGATCTATTAAATTCTTATATCTTTTTTGAATTTGAAGTGGTTATTATTATTTAGGTATCATATTAATTTTTATGTATAATTACTAAATTCGGATAGCCTTAAAAGTGTACATCAACAAAAAATTATTGTGAGACGATTAAAAAAAATTAACTATCATGTGTTACTATGAGAATATTTTAATAGATAATATTTTTGTATTTTTAAAATTTTTTACTAAACATATATGTACTTACAAAAAATTTAACAAAGTAAGATTGAAATAATATTTAAGTAACAAAAAATCCGAAAAACCTAACAAAACTGAACTAATCCAAACCGATATAATTGATTTGGTTTGATTTTGATAAAAGTCAAACCAACCCGGTCCATGTACACCCATAACTATATCGAACAAATTAGAACCAACCAACTCATTTTTGTATGCTTTGATATTCTTTTGTATGAGTCAATTTGAATTGTAAAAATTGCATGGGGTGCACTATTTGGTCGCCCCTTTTTAACTTGTAGCTGCTTTATTTTTTGATTTGCATCCGTACCCATTTTTTTTTTTGTTAAAAGCATTTTAAAAAGACGAGGAGCAGTTGTCTGTCTCTCTCTCCTTCTTCGCGGTTTTGATTTGTTATCTAAAATCAAACAGTTTTCGGCATTGCATTCTTCTTGATAAGTAAAGTATAATCACATGTACGATTTTAATGGTTGCTTTTGTACATTGCATTAACTTTGTATGGGGTTTTAATTTAGGATTAGTTTTATGATTTAATTTCTGGGATTTTTGTTGATAGTAATCTTAATTGAATCGTTTTTCTTTTTTTTATTTGTGCTAAAATAGTTTTCTAGGGTTTACGTTGATTAGTGCATTAATTTTGTAGGTTTTACTTTAACGATTAGTGTTTTTAGGTTTTTTGAAACCGTGTTTGTGTTTTTGATGAAAATTTTATATATTCTTCAGTGTTTTTTGGAGACGTTGAAATTTTTAAAACTTTTGAGGCTTAAATAGATGATGTTATTAAAGTGTAAAATTTATAATACTTCAAGGATAACTTAATTCTAGGAGGTGAAGTTTTATTTTGTGTTTTGTATAAGTAAAGTATATTTTGTCTGCAGTTTTTATTTTGTTTTTGATGAACTTCAGCATTATTGGAGTTGAATTTGTGTTCTGTATTTGTAAAAACTATAGCATATTTTGGCTGAAAGTTTTGTTCTGTAATTACTGAACATCAGTATTCTTAGAGCCGAAGTTTGTTCTGTATTTGCTGAACTTCAACATTATTAGAGCTGAAGTTTTGTTCTGTATTTCTTTGAAGTTAGATGGCTTTATAATATAACTTAAGCCAAATTGTGCTGAAGTTTTAACTGATTTTTTTGATAATGTTCTGAAGTTATTTTTCCTACCTTTAATTGTTTTGAACAGATGACATCTACGAAATCCAAAGCACCTAAAGCTCCTAAAGCACCTAAAGCACCTAGAATACGTAAAGCTCCTTCAGTTTTCCTGACACCGGTAATATACCAGGATGTCGTCAATAAACACAATGACAAAGGAATCAAGATAAGGCTGGAATACACTGTGCATCAAATTCATAAAGGCTGTTGGGGCATTGGTCAGCACAAATGACATGACAAGAAACTCATAGTGACCATATCTGGTCCTGAAAGCAGTTTTCGGGATATCCGGCTCCCAAATCTTCAACTAGTGATAGCCAGAACGCAAATCAATCTTGGAAAACACCCTAGCACCCTGTAACTAGTCAAATAAGTCATCAATACGAGGTAATGGATACATGTTCTTCACTATAACCTTGTTCAACTGCCGATAATCAATACACATATGCATAGAACCATCCTTCTTCTTCACAAATAAGACATGAGCACCCCAAGGTGACACACTGGGCCGAATGAAGCCCTTATCAAGCAACTCCTGCAACTGCTCCTTCAACTCTTTTAATTCAGGAGGAGCCATACGTTATGGAGGAATAGAGATAGGCTGAGTGCCCGGCAACAAATCAATGCCAAAATCAAT